AAGGAAGAGGAAGTGCAATTTGTTTTGTTTTTCATTAAAGCATAACTTGGGGCACCTTCAGTGTCAATACCTGATGATCTATTTCATTTTGTTTGGTGTCTTTAGAGTATTTCATAGTGTGAAATATATATCCATAGTATGGTAGGCCACAATTTACAGAATCATTCTGCTATTAAAGAATGTTTCAGGCCAGGTGTGGTGGCTCACTCCTGTACCAGCACTTTGGGAGGCCGAGGCAGGCGGATCACCTAAGGCCAGGAGTTCAAGATCAGCCTGACCAACATGGCAATACCCCATCTCTACTAAAAATACAAAAATTAGCCAGGCGTGGTGGCAGGTGCCTGTAATCCCAGCTACTCAGGAGGTTGAAGCATGAGAATTGCTTGAACCTGAGAGGCGGAGGTTGCAATGAACTGAGATCGTGCCACTGCACTCCAGTCCCAGGGGACAGAGCGAGACTGTCTCCAAAAGAAAAGAAAAGTATGTTTCAGTTGTCCAATAAGGATTATTAACTGTAATTATACCAAACCGAGGCCCAAAAGAAATCAGTCCTAAGCCACAGGGCAAAGTAGCAATATAGTCGTGAAATAGTTAACATCAAGGATAATGACATTCAGAAAATGTCTTAAGGATGAAAAATGATTCACAAAGCCTGGTCTTGGCCTTATAATGGTTCACCAGAAAAACAATTTTATAATTGCATCACTTTAAACTAAAGTTTTACACATTAGGCAGGCTTATCATTAAGAAGAAATACAACAGCGGATGGATCTCATAGGCTCACAACGTTGAGTTGTTGTACCATGCTACACTGTATCCTAAATCTGTATTCTTGTGTTAACTTTCCTTGTTTAGAGGGATTCTGGGCCATAAATAAATACATACGTAAATAATTTTTTTCTGTTTCATCCTCTGGAAATTGACTTTGGATATAAAGACATACAGATTGTGTTTGTGAAAGGGCCCTCTGCCTGTGTTCATGGATATCTATTCAAGATATAGCACAAGCTTTGGAGATACAATCGCCTAAAAGCATCCAACTTTGATTGGAGAGTCTGAGTTCTCCTAGTAACACAGACTGGTAGTGCTTCTCAATTCATTTTCTAAAACTGTTTATCAAAATTTAGCACAGTTGCATTTCCTACTGGCCCCAGACCTCTTTGACCTGGTCCCTATGTGCTGCTGAAGAATTCTTAAAGAGAAGCCTAGGCTTGGGAAAACATGAAAATGAGAAGGGACACACAGAGAGCCCAGCCTTGTGACCGTCACTCAGACCCAAGCCCTTTGCAAATGGACATGGCTGAGTTTGGGCTGATCGCTAGTGCTTGGGAACGATGTGACAGCTAAGGTCTGTGACAGGCCACATGCACACAGAACCCCTCAACCTCATGACACAGTCCCAAAGGGGTCTCCCAAAACATCTAGACATCCACTATATCTACAAGAATGTGGCTGGGCATGATGGTTCATGCTCGTAATCCCAGCGCTTTGGGAGGCTTAGGTGGGTGGATCACTTGAGGTCAGGAGTTCGAGACCAGCATGGCCAACATGGTGAAATCCCATCTCTACTAAAAAATACAAACTTAGTCGTGCATTGTGGCACATGTCTGTAATCCCAGCTACTTGGAAGACTGAGGCAGGAGAATCACTTGCACCCGGGAGGTGGAGGTTACAGTGAGCCAAGATCCTGCCATTGCGCTCCAGTCTGGGCAACAGGGAGAGACTCCCTCTCAAAAAAAAAAAAAAAAAAGTGTGGGATGAGTCCTGTAAAAAAAATAATAATTTTATTACTATGAAAGTTCAGAACTTTTGTTATTTTACTGAGAATGACTTTCTATTTAATAAAATCTTTTAAAGTAAACTCAAGTATTTTTGGTCTCTGAGATCAGCCATGGAATTCTGAAAAGGCATGCTTTCTACAGGTAGCTGATTTCAGGGTTGTTTTATTTTTGGAGACTAAGGTGGAGTGAGCATTGGAAAGCACAGATCACAGAGTTATAGCCTATTGTTTGGGATACTTGGTCTGTCATTGACCAGGTCCTTTCTCATGGGTGAAATGCAGAGGTAGAACTCTTATGTCCCTTCCCAGTGAGAGTCCCCCACCATTAGAAAGATGAAAGAAAGTCAAAGTAAATACCTTTTGCTTCTGTTCAAAGTCCCTTTCTTTCTTTTTCTGCCTGAAACACTTCTACTGAGCCTATCCATTTTTCCTCCATAGCCTCTTACACCAAAGCTGCCCAGTGTCACTTACGAGTCAATTACGGAGGGAAAAACACACAAAGCCATTACAAGGAAGCAAAAAGTATAAAAGGCTTAACAAACCATAAGAACACTGACATGCAGCTAGGCCACGAGAAAGTAAGGATGGATTTCTATTTGAAAGGATAAAGTTTCATGTACGGAGGAAGCTAAGATGGGGATAGTTTTCAAGAAAGCATGACTGGGACTAGATTTGAAATTGGAGGATTTTTTTTATAAAGCAAATGTTCTGGTTTATCATCCATCTATGAATCTGTTTTAAGCATGCTCCTTAAAAAGTGAGAAAGAGAGAAAATAAATCAATGATATTTGCTCTATGCCCAGTGCCATACTCTGAGATGAAACAGACTACCAAGGCCAGAGAGGAGGGGGTCGTGCGTAGGTGAGCACCTTGTTAATTCGGCCAGTAGATTTTTCATTTCCACCCAGAGCAAAGCAAGGCAAAGTGAGAGCTAAGGTTTTCAAAGAGTAATTTGGATTAGGCACTACACAAAGTGAAAAGAAAGCAGATAGCAGTATTCATCACCAACCTCGAATATAAAATCTGCCCCTAACTGGCCTCCTTTCCTCCTCCCTCACCCTCCATCCCCTGGTTCTGTTCTCAATACAGCAGCCAGAGAGATCCTGCCACCTGCGGTGAACAATGGAACTCCCCTGCTCGCCAACTCCCTGTGCTTTCCTGCCTCAGAGTGAAAGTCAACGATGGACCCAAAGCCCTACAACGCTATGGCTCTCCCAGCCCACCCCTCGCCCGTCTCCTTGCTCTCCCTGCCCTCTCTGGCTTCCGGCCACACGGGCCTCCAGGCTTTTCCTGGAAAGGTCTCACTCAGGACAACTTCCCACCGTCTGCAGAGCTCTTCCCCTGAGCATTTGACTCCCTCGCCTCTTCCAGGTCTTTGCTCCAATGTCCCCTTCTCATGAAGAGGGGACATGAATCTCCACGAACTGAAGGTTCGTGTCCATCCATTACTGATTCAACAAATATGTACTGAATGCCTCTTATGTCTCCAAACTGTTCTATGCCTTGGAACTATAAAAGTGAACACAAGAGGCCAAAAACAAGAAAGGGCTCAATGAGCCCCCATTTGACCATTTGACTTAATATTGCAACACTTCCTAGTCCACCTGGGGTTTCTGCATGCACTTCTCACCATCTGACATAGCCTATATTCTACTTACCTATCATCTTCCTTCTCCCACTAAGATGCAAACTCTAAAAGGACATCAATTTTTTTTTTTTTTTTTGGCCCTGTTTTGTTCACTTGTATAGTTCCAGAGCACAGAAAAGTCTGGACAGGTAAGGAAGCATTCAATACATATTTGTTGAATCAGTGAACGAATGGATGAACCTGAGCCCCTTGCTCATGGGGATTCACAGGGCGTCACCAAAGGGAATCCCTGCTTCGCTCTGCCTGGAGAGGCTGTGCACAGATCATCCCCAGGAAGAAATAAGTGCCAGGAAAAGAAAGGCAGCCCTGTCTCTTCCTGAGAAAAGAAGGTCTTTGCGCTTAGAGACTGAGGGATTATTTGTCCCAAAATTAATATCTTAAGTCCCCTTGTGAACAGGAGCTGTCCAACAAATATGTAGGCCTAATTCTTGAAAGAAGAGGCCTTATTCTCAGTATCTTTTACTCTTACAAATAATTAATATTATAAAGTCCTGCCTAAACATGAAGAGAATAGACAAGATGTTTAGCTTTGAAATAAACTCTTTCATTTTTGTCTCATGAATTTGATCTATTAATTAAATCTCATTTATATCTCTGATTATATGATTGTGAGCTTACAAGCTGGCTGGCAGAGAGGGAGAGAAGAGAACATTGATCACCACATGAGGTATTTCCTGGTGGGGATTTACCAGGCAGCAGGTGGAAACAAGACCAGCCCTCATGGATATTGTTAAGCCGTAGAGATACCTCTTTGGGGAGAAGGCACAAGAGAGAGAGGTGTGGGCAGCAAGGGGTGGGAGTGTGAGAAAAATTGGGAGAATTAATAGATTTCTCTCCTGTGGTTTCTTCTAGATGCAATTATTTGAAACTCGAAGCACAAAAACTAAGCTTTTATTTTAGCAAACCCGAACTACTTCTTGTCACATGCCATTTGCTTAACACCGAGAGTTAAAAAAATAATTCTTCCTAGACATAATTTCATTATAGCAGTTGACACACAGGCACAGCCACCACCTACCAGCTTTCTTGGACACTGATATGTTTCACTGAGAGGAAATTTCTGGCCTGTGTGACTTGATTCTGAAATTACCATAATCTCCACTCTCCAGAGGCCATAGCTAGTGAAGTGGATTAGTGCCCAAGCCTTTGGGGTCTCTGGAGAACAAAGTTCAAATCCGGAGCTTAGGTCATAAGTAAAGATGAAGGGGTTGGTCTAACGGTTTATCCCCCTTTGGGAGCAGTGAAAGGCACAGCTAGTTATGATTATTAATCTTGTTCAGAAGCAGCACAGCCAGAAATGTGGTGAGTTGATCCTCATCCAGAGAAACTGGCACGGCCCACAGGCTCCTGACTCTCTGAATTCACTCTGGGCTTTTTCAAACACAATGTGAATTTTTTCTAAAGAAATCACAGTGTGACTGTTTGTTCACTGACAAAAAAAAAAAAAAAGCATGTTATTTTGCAGAAGTGCCCATTTGGGCTCAAATAATTTGAGGGAGATAAAGTAGTCTGTGATTATCAGCACGTATGAAAAGAGGGATAGATCCGTTCACTTGCCTTCTCTCTTGACAGGTGTATTTCTACTGGATTTGCCGGGATGCAAGAGCTTTTGAGTGGTTTGCCGATCTCTTACTCTCACTGGAAACACGGATGAGTGAGCAGGGGAAAACTCACTTTCTGAGTTATCATATATTTCTTACTGGCTGGGATGAAAATCAGGTACTGATAAGACTCTGAGAATAAGCAATATTGCTTAACTCATCTAATAGCAACGAGAAACAATTTCAATAATGAGCTATGTAGCACTCTGATAGCATGACAGAATTATTTTTGTGTTCTTAAAAAGGAAAGGAGAGTGAAATAAAATCAGATTAACAAGAGTGATTCAAGTTGTAACAATCAAAGAACCAAAAAAAGAAGCCACAGTTAACTTGCTGAGGAATAGAAAGGGTCAGACAATGGAAGACAATCCAGAGGTTGGAAATCCCAAATAAATTTGCATTTGTCCCTTTAAAAGTGACATCAAATGAATAGTACTGATTGGCTGTATCATGTTGTTGAGTTCCTGACTGGTTCTAATTCTGTGCCTTGAGCTGTTCAGAGTTAAGCAAAAAAGATTCCTAGGTATTTACATTCAACATTTTGTATTGTCAAGTATGTGAGCATCTATAGAAAATAATTATTATGAATATGCAATTTGTCCAGAGTTTGTTCTCTTAAGGTGTTCTTAGAAATTGTGTGCATGTATGTTTATTTACCTAAGATCAAGATGATCTTTTGTTTTGGCAGGTGTTCTGCAGTACATTGTATTAATGAAACATTAAGATTGAATTTACCGAAAATAATGTATACCAAAATATTGACTATGGTGGTATTTCAATGTTGATACTCTTGAATGATAACTATTACATTGTAATTCATTTTAACTCCTCAAATATGGGAATTAACAATGAAGTGATTACTAGGTTACACAATATACATTCTAATCAGCAGCTATTATTGATATATACTTTTAAGGAAAGTATATTTGAGCCTGGGAGATTGGCATTAATCACTGCATTTACAAGTGAATGCTCTGTGTATGTACATCACACATACACACACACACACACACACACACACACACACACACACTGGCCCTAAGGAACATCACTGTAATTTGACTCTGTACATCTGCAAATGAATAAGACTCTGCTAGAAATTCAGTAGCTTAATGAATTTTTATGGTCTTATTTGCAGTCCTTCTTAAATATTTAATCCTTTGGGATAATTTGAAATGTAGGTTTCTTGGGAACCAGGCTTGAAACATCTTAATGAATTATATAGTGTTAATTATGTTTTCCAAACAAACACTTTCCTTATTCAAGTGGGATTTTTGACTGATGAACGGTTTGGTGAAGTACAGACAGCTTCTGTCTTCTGCTTTCAAGTACTGTGCCTGCTCTTCTACTTCTAAGGTGCATTGATCCCAGTGTGCACCTAGGTATTCCCTGCCAACTGGGAGCTATGGGACTGAGGTTCTCATAACCGAGAACTGAAGTTGATTTGGCGACAACACAATCCTGCCCCCTCCCATCTCTACTACTTCCAAGAATACGCTATAAAATATACATTTTTTTCTAAACACGAGTAAATTAAAATAGATGTCTTACATTTTTGCCATGACATGTTGAAAATTATTTCGACTCCCAAATTTCAGGCAGAAAAATCACTAATTTCAACATTTAAAGGAAAAATAATTGGTGCATTCTGTCGGGAAAGAATCAAGAGGCTGTTTTAGAAATACCCAATTGTTAAACTGAATTCAACAACCTCAAAGTGGCAAAATGACAAGAACAGAAGGGACAGATGGAAGAGGTATTATGAAGGGCAAATCAACAGAGTTTGGAGATTAATTGAACATTGGGCTGAGAAATATGGGACAAATATCATTCCAAATGTTTGAACATCAGTGATTGGCGGTACCACAAGTGTAAGTAGGGAAGGCCCTTTTTGTGTGTGAAATGGTGCCCAAACTTCTCAGCAAGGACTTTAAGGCCCTTCCCAGCCTGACTCCGACTCACTAGTTGTGTCCCACCCCCATCAGTTTCCTCTGGCACCAGAGCCACCAAAGGATGCGTGTTCACCCATCACACTGCACACGGTCACACACCCATGGCTTTGCTTGTTCTCTTCCCGCACCTGACATATCACTTAACACCCTCTGCCACTGTTCCTCACCTTCTTTTTGCACAGAGTCCTATACCCCAACTCTTTTCCAGCAGTAGCCCTGCCATCTGGGGTCAGACTTGCCTGCTCACAACTTTCTACAACCTGGATTTCTTTTTATCTTTATATTTTAGATTCAGAGGGTGTGTGTGCCCATTTGTGAGATGGGTATAACACATTCTGGTGGGGTTTGGGCTTTTAGTGTACCCATTACCCAAATAGTGGACATAGTACCCAGTAGATTCCTTGTCAAAACTCACTCCCTTCTCACCATCCCCCCTTTTTGGAGCCTCCCGTGCCTGTTATTCCCATCTTTATGTCCATGTGTGCCCATTGATTAGCTGCTACTAATAACTGAGAACACAGAGTATTTGGGTTTTTGTTTCTGAGTTAGTTCACTTAGAATAATGGCCTCCAGCTCCATCCATGTTGCTGCAAAGAACATGATTTCATTCTTTTTATGGCTGCATAGTATTCCATAGTACGTATATAACACATTTTCTTTGTCCAGTCAACTGTTGATGGACACTTAGGTTAGTTCCATGATTTTGCTATTGTGAATACTGCTGTGATGAACATATGAGTTCAGGTTTCTTTTATATATAATTGGCTTGGATTTCTGAGATCAACCTGCCATTGTCTCCTGGCCTGTTGGGACACTTCCGTTATTTTCAGCTGAACCTCCCTAGATTCAACTATTTTTTTAAACTGGAGAGAAAGTCAGCCAGGAAAGTCAGGCTTGCAGTGGGGACCTGGGGCATGAGTTGCACCCAGCAGGGTTGTTACCCAAACTGGTCAGGGTCAGGATGAGTTAAGAGGATGAGGACGAATAGAGCACCACATAGAGGTCTAAGGGATGAGCACTGGTGACACAGATCCCAGGAGGTGAGAAGCAAGGTAGCTACCAGAACGCAGAAGGGGCTAAAATAAATGACAGCAACTTAAAACATGATCATGACCAGGCGTGGTGGCTCACGCCTGTAAACCCAGCACTTTGGGACGCCAAGGCAGGTGGATCATGAGGTCAGGAGGTTGAGACCATCCTGGCTAACACAGTGAAACCCCATCTCCACTAAAAATACAAAAAAAAAAAAAAATTAGCCAGGTGTGGTGGCATGCACCTGTAGTCCCAGCTACTTGGGAGGCTGAGGCAGGAGGATTACTTGAACTCAGGAGGCAGAGGTTGCAGTGAGCCGAGATTGTGCCACTGCACTGCAGACTGGGCTACAAAGCAAGAGTGTCTCAGAATAAACCAAAAACATACAAACAAACAAAAACAAATAAACAAAAAAATGATCACAAGGGATTACGCTGTGGACTCTCACTTATTGACCACCAGCTACATGATGCCTGGATGGAGTCACTTAATTCCAAGGCGAATGATTAGGCACAGAGCTCCAGCCAAGCCGCCTGCTAGGCTCTGGCCACCATGTTCTGCCTGCCGGGCTCCACGGCCTCCCGGCACTTGAAACCGGACCGTATACATCACACCGTTTCAACACACTAGGCAGGTCTGATTGTAAGATACAGTTTCTTCCCAGACATTTCATAGCACTGTAATCTGGCAATGCCCTTCTCAACTCCCCAGGAGCCAATGTTAAGTGAAAGGGGATAGCAGGTAGAGATGAATTGTTGAAAAGTTTGGCAGGAAAAGAAGGAAGTCATTTAGTGCTTGCTTTTTCTTAACCACAATTACTATATTGCTTTCATCCTTTCAAAGGAAAATATTCTTTCTAGGTTAACGTTATTGCACACCTACTATGTATAAAGAGGCACTTGGTTCCGACGAGGCCTGATTCAGACATAAACGAGATATGATGCTTGCCCTAAAGTACAGCATTGGTGACATCTGCAAATAGTGATAAGCATTGCCAGCCCTGTACACATATTTTAATTAAATCTACAAATGAACATGATTAGTTTATTCTTTATCAATAGAAGGCTTATATATTTTTTCTAAATGTCATCTAATGCCACAAATTTACTTTAGGCTGTTCACATAGCTTTACATTGGGATGAAAATACTGATGTGATCACAGGCTTAAAACAGAAGACCTCCTATGGGAGACCCAACTGGAACAACGAGTTCAAGCAGATCGCCTACAGTCACCCCAGGTGAGGCAAGATCTTGCTCCTCTCCCTGCTGGGCTCTTCTCTGGAGAAATGCAAAGGTTGCTGGAGTGAAAAGTTAATCTGCAGGACTGTGCATCTCCTTTAGAGACAAAACATCTACCTTAGAAAAGGTGGTCAATGGTATATTTCAGGGGCCACAAGCCTCTGCTGAACTGGCTCTTACAACCTCTGACAGTTATTGATTATGTTGCAATTTTTCACATTTAACCTCAATTTAAAGATGGTATTTCTTCAACTGCATATGCTTTCAAGACATCTTTGGTGGATGCAGTTGATCTCTAATTAGCCAACTGGAGAATTCACTCCTGTCCAACTGTACACTATCTAGCACATCTAGCAAAAGCAGAGAGAAAATGTTCGAAGACAAAGCAGGGATTTCGGGTGGTGGTTAAGGACCCAGCATCTGGCTGTAAATCCTGGCTCTGCCTTTACCACTGGTTGACCTTGGACAGGTTACCTACCCTGGTACTGTCTCCGTCTCCGCCTCTGCAAACTGCAGATAATAATAGTGCTTTCCTCCTAAGAGTCTGCAAGGATAAAATTAATGAATGCATGTAAGAGGCTTAAAACAGTGCTTTGTATGGAGTACACAAGAAGCACTAGCTGCTATCACTGCTATTATTATTTTTATTATCATTTCCATTATTACTCTTATTATTATCATTATATAATGAATTTCAATATAGAGAAGCAAGAGTACTTGTTCTGGGGCCACAAAACTGAAGTGAAGCCTGCACTTCCTGGTTCTAGAAGTTACTGGCTGTGTGACCTTGGACGAGACAGCTTATTTGAGCTTTTGCACCCCATTGAAAAATATGGATGATAACATCCATTCACAGTTTTGTTTTCATAATGTAAATATACTTGTAGTATAGAGCACTAATGCAAACAGTTATCATTGTTGTGATGTCTCCTAAGTCAGTCTTTGCTTTGAACCTTCATTGTCCATGGCTCTTAAAAGTCAGCATGTCCTAATATTGTCTTCATTAAAGAACAGTTTCCATGTTTGAGGAAAGATCTGAAGGCAGTGAAGGAGTGTGCCATGTGGGCAACTGGAGCATGTGCCAAGACCCTGAGGCAGGAGACATCGTTCCTGGCATGATCCTGGAACAGAGGAGGTGAGAGGGAGAGCAGCAAGAGTCAGACTGTAGGAGAAATCACAAAGACAGCTGCGAGTCATCGTAAGACTTTGGATTTTATTCACAGAGGGGAAGGCACTTACAGGTTTGAGCAGTAGAGTGGCGTGGGATCATGCTGCAAGAGAAGGGAACGTGAGGGGCCTCGGACAGAGGTGGAGAGGCCAGAGAGGATCAGCAGTGTGGTGGTTTGGATTAGGGAGCTGCAGAGGAGGTCATGAGAAATTGTTAGATTCTGGAGTTTTTTGCAGGTTGAGCTGAACTGACTGTGGATGGGATGTGAGGTATGACTCAAGCTATTCAATAGAATGGAGTCCCCACTTACCATTTGGCGATGACATTAAGAGGAGCAGCTGGTTGGCAGACATGAAGTATCAGGAGTTCAGTTTTTGACATGTTTAGCTTATGATGCCTGTCATACATCCATGTGGAGTTATGGAGTGGCCAGATGAATATAAGAAACAAACGTTCAGGGGAGAAGTTCAGCCAGAGGTGTGAGCACATGGACTGTTTGGAGCCATGAAACTGGATAAGATGACCAGACGGGCAGATACAGATGGACAAGAGTTCCAAGGACTGCACTGTTGGAGGGTCAGGAAATAGACTATTGACAGGTCACAGAGTTTAATAGTGACACTCATATCTGCCTTAATAATCATGCCCCTTGGGTCTTCTATACCCTGACCTTCTTTCCATCCGCTTTCTCTGTATTGCACCAGTAAGAATACATTAAAGCCCACTAGGGTTCCTCTGACTGCTTCCGTATCCCCAGCGATTTTTCCATTGTCTTGCATCCTTCAAAGCCTCAGTCCTTGCATTTCTGCCTTGTGGGCTTCCTGCAGACACAGCGTGCTTCATTAAACTCTTTGTACTTCCTTCGTATTTGTTCTGCTTCACAGAGTACTTCTCTGGTGAATATTATTTATCTTTTGGTGATTTTGGCTGCTCCTTTTTTACATTTTTTTCACACTCTCTCTTTGCCAGAAAGATGCCATTTTCTTTTTTATCGGTTGTCATGGAATTCGTTAGACTCCCTGGACCAGCTATTTGAAGGACGTTAACGAGGAGGGAGATGTGGAAGGAGTGATCAGGTAGCCATCCAAGATTCATAACCATCTGATTCCAGTCACCTTCTTCCCTGTGAAGTCACTCAGACCTCAACTGCCCTGTGCTCTGTGAGGCCCCTGCCAGACCTCTCTGCACCCTGCACCCAGCAACCTGCAGAGAAGCAGGAGTGTTTACACCCAGGGAAGAGAAGGTTTGAAGGCGTGCTTGTGGGGATTACTCCTGACTCGCATTGAGGCCAAGAGTACAGGCTTTCCAGCAGGAGACCCCAAGAAAAGCATGACTTCAAGCATACAGTTGGGGAGGGAGTGAGTGGACCAGCTGCGCAACCTTGCAATCTTGCTCTTGCCCCATGGGGCTCATTCTGATGCTCCATAAGCTGTGGCAGTGGCCTTGGAGACTTTTCCAGGTGTCACTTCCTCATACCTCCTTGCTCCATTTTGCTTCTTGCCCTGACCCCACGGGACATATGGCCTAGAATCCAGTTCTGGTTCTACCTTCTCTCCAAATGCGTGCTTCCAACCCATCCCGGCTTCTGCAGCCACAGAATCCGGTTCCTCTGAGCTCCTGCTCCACACCCAGCCCTGGCTCCCGGGCCCCCAGGGCTTCTGAGTCTAAATCACCACCCCCACCTCACACCCACCCAGAGCAGAGACGAGCTCATTTCATCTGCCATTTCCTTGAAAAGATTATAGGTAGAAACTAACAAAATATTACAAGCTGATATGAGAAAACTCGGGGGTTTTTTTGTTGCTATTTTCTCCGTTAGGGAAAAAAAACCATATATATTCATTGATAAATGTTTTACATTCAGTTTTCAGTCATCATGGAATAAATGTTCTCACTTCACAGGCTTTGACGTGGACATCTATATCTTGGTTTTCAGTTCTTCTAGATAGTCTCAGTCTTTATTAGGATTGTCCCTTTTTGACATCTCACATGGCATTTGTTTATTTATGTATTTATTTATTTTTACACACAAAGCTTGCAGTCCAGTGGGGAAGGCCTTTAAAAACCAAACTATTTAATTATCTCTCTTCCCTCCAAAAGGCATGAGCCAGGAACACGGAGCATCAAGAGACAAAGGATAAAACTGGGCTTACACAAACTCTGCCCAGAAAATTATGTGACTCAGTGCTGAGAGGTGGGCCTGTCCAATTTTTTGCAGGGAGTAAAGAGTAATCAGTTTTAAGGTAGAAAAACTATATTACCATCACTTTCCCCATTGCTAGTACCTTTCTAGAAGCCATAATCAAAGTTAAGTGCAGAAACGTACTTAATGCTCAGCTGTATCTTGCAGCCCAGTAGCTATGCAAACTCTCTCTCCTTGATGGATGACTTCTCTTCCAGAGTAGACGAGGCCCCCAAGGTTTAGAATCACTGAATCAAACCTCTACAGCATACTTCCTAGTCCCCAATTTTTTGATATCATATTTGTAATAGCCTTAGACTCTAGAACATAGTAACTTGTTATATAGCTTCAAACATCCATGTCATTAATATTAGACACATGAAGGCAAAGTCAATCATTTTATCCCTGGAATGCCAGATCCCTGGGAAAAGACAAGCCTTTAGTCAAAAGCTTAGCACCACCCTTTCAAAAGACTTTTAAAATGACCTCCTTAAAATAATTTTGTTTTCTGCTGTGTAAAAGGAGATTTATGTTTAATGAAGCTTTTAATGAAGAAATCTCGGAAAGAGAATGCCAATAAAATCTAATTTTTAAACAAGAAAATCTAATATTGAGAAGTATTTCAATATCCTGGCCTTTGTCCAGATATAAATGAAACACACAATCCAATTACTGTTCTGCACAAAGGACAAAGTAACATTAATTTTCCTCAGGATGGTTATTAAAGAGATAAACAGTATGTTTTCCCCTTATAATGTCAAGGATATGTTTGTTCCCAAGCCTGCTTGGCTACTCTTACAAGACAGTTCTGTCCTGTCGTTAGCTCATATCTTTTGGCAAAGATGGGTCAGAAGAAATCGGTGGATTTGTTAGTGGCCTCAGAAAGGGTTCTTTGTTCTTGAGGGCCTTTGAAGTAGGCTCTCAACCATTTCTATTCATCAGCGCGAAGCCGAGGATTCTCCGGACTCACTCTTTCAAAAATATTTACCTGTTCACTCAAAGCTGGAGTTTGTTCTTGTTCTAAGAAGGAGTTAAATCAAAAGAATAAAGTGAAGAGGGGCAAAAAGATTTTTTATAGAACATGAAAAACAGCACCAAAAATAAAGCTTGAAGGGAAGCAGATCAAAGAGAGTAGTACAAGCTATAAAGGAACCAGAAAATTGCAAAAATAACAGTAATAGAGAAACAAATTGATGGGCATCAAAATGAATACAAATAAGGAAGAGAGAAGAAAAATTAAAAATAGATCAAAGACTGACAGTAGAAAATAGAAAAGTGTGTTCTATTGTTTTTATTTGTAATTAATTTTGGTAATTATATTAGCTATATTACAAAAACACAAGTATAGTTTTGAAAGACAATCAACATATATTAAGTGGATGCATTATAAGCCTTTTATTAATATATTCAAATTCACATACGTGAAAATTGTATCTTATTTCAGTTAGACAAAGCACAGAAAAGTACTATAAAACAAAAACATTAAAAATTATTCTCCCAATTGAAATATAGTAGGCTAATTATATACATTGACATCTATGTCTTACTAATCTAGAGAAAGTTATCTTTTTCAAAAATGGAAACTGTATTGCATTTTTTGTAAACATTGTCAATATGTTCCCAAGCTTTAGGTAAATGTTCAGAAAATC